TATTTGTGTTACAGCAATTTTGTTTCCTTTCTGCGCCTTTCTCAAGGCGTCTGGCGTGTTAAGATTCATAGCGATTTATAAGAATGTGTTATTTCTTTCCTTAAAACGAACAAGGAACAAAATTAATCGCCGTTGTGGCGATCAAAAGAAATTGTTTTATGCTGATTCAGGAACTCTATTTTAAACTCCCGACACACATCACAACGCACTGAAAGGCAATATAGACTTTATTTAACATAAATTAACAAGAGTTACAGGTAATAATCCACCTACAGCCCTCGCTAACATGCAGAAACGATAAACGTGAGAAATGTTTGCTTTACAGTAATTTTGTTCTCTTTCTACGTTTTTCTTGAGGCGTTCAGCGTGTCACGATTCGTAGGACCGACATCTGTGCGATTTTTTATAAAATCGCCGTTTTTAGGGAGTCGGCCTATTCGCGATATAGACGTAATTTCGAGTAAATACGGTATATATTTCACAATTACTCGTTTGATGAGCATATAATTTAAATATAATTAAGCAAATGGCAACAAACGCAGGAAAGTTGATGCTAAGTGCAAAGGGTTCAATGGCGCTGAAAATATTCGAATGAAATTTTATGAGATACAATGAGGAAATAAATCTATATTCTATTCGAGAGATGTATCACTGCTTGATTCTTATTATAAAAAGTACCATCCGATCGGTTTTTCAACTTTCTAAAAATATGAGCGGCCCGCCAATGACTTGCAACCTTAATTTTGGCCCGTGAGCGACAAAACGTTGCCGACCCTTGCTCTATGTGATGTGGGGAAATCCGATTTAACCATAGATTTTCGCCTGTAATGCTGTCATAGTAAGTCCAACGCTTTATCCACTAGGCTTCCCCTCATATATATTAATATGAAATACTTGTAAGTTTGAATTCAGTGGAACTATTAAAGTAGCCAAGCTAATATATTATTATTTATGTGATCACATTCCAATAGAGATGAAGTTCAATTTAGCACAATCATTTAGTAAATAAACATTTGTGTAGTCTGAGTTATTTTGACAGGCAAGCAACCTTCGTTAAACTGCCGAACATAGCACACAAATCGGTTATTCACAGACTTTGTGAACCTGAGTTCGAACACATTCCAAAATATGAACTTATTCAATTCATACCAGTAGTTTTGATGGTTTCAAAAGTTGTTGTTTCACATATAATTCTTGCAAGTGTTAATGGAACCTTTGTTGTTTGTTTCTGTTGTGTGGTGGTTGCTGAAAATAAATTCATATTTATTATAAGTGAAAATAATTGTTTGGGGTAGATTTGCAAACTCTTAAGGAAAAAACTCACTTGTTTTTGGTGTGGTTGTTGTTGATCTACAATCTATTACGAGATATTGAATTGTGAAGTATTTAGTGTAACCAGCAAAGTTTTTTGCATAGTATTGTATCTTATATGAGCTTCCTCCAGCTCTATTCCATGGCATGATTGAATCACAGGTGTGACTTACAACTGGAATTTTCTCTCTGATTTTGTTGATGTTGCATATAGTTGATGCAGTTGCAAATACAAGACAGAAGTTTCTTTGAAAATCACATTTATATCCATCAGTGCCTGTAATAGTATCGATACTGTTTTGTATATACTAAAATATTTTTTAATTGTTGCTGTATATTAAATTGTATACGATAGTATAGTAATAGTATAATGTAGCTTACTTGGAAATCTGATTCCTCCAGAGCAATCTCTACTTCCCGTACCAGTTGTCATTGGCAGAGAAACATTTTGTAACATCAGAACAACTGCAGTTTGATGATCTGTGTCTATACTTGTTGGTATTGTCCAATCACAGTTGCAGTTGTATTCATTACTTGGTCCATACATGATATCCTTGCTCTCTGTTCCAAGTCTTGTATTGCGACAATCAGTACATGGTTCTACTCTGTTAACACTGATCAAAAAGGCTGAATAAAATATACAAGATTTATTTCACATTGGATTATGTTTACACTATATATAAACAAGTGTAACAGTTTTTATAATGCTTTGTTTGACTGATTATGTAATTAAATATCTCTCTGTAGCGTTGAGCTTATCTGATGGTTTCAGAGAAACGATTTTTGCATATTTCATATGTAGCAGCAGATATAAATTTTATATTTTCTGCTCTTTTAGCACTGCAGAAGAAGCTGAATAAATTCAAATCTTGAATAATACAGACAAATTGAAATTTGCGTGTCGAATCCCTAATGTTGTATGTCTAAATCATTCATTTTAAACCTGTAGCAGTTATTTTATATTTAAGATAGAATACTTCTGTATTCCTATGTTATTTACACCAAGAATAATGATTCAACTGAAATCAACTCACATCTATCATCTTAACTATCAAGTTATTTCATAAGTGCTTTTATTTTTTTACTCATTTAAATAATATTAAAAATGTTTTTACCAAGGAGAATCCATATGCTGCATTTGAAGATCATCATTTTTGAATTCCTATTAATGTTCTCTGAAATCTGTTGGGTCTAAAGCGGAATCCAGACTGTAATGCAAATGAGTAGTGTCACTTCCAAGAATTAACCTTACGGGTAACTTCTAACTGAAATATTTTAAGATGTTACATTCTAATTATTTGTCTCTTGATCTTAATCTACCTTTAAAAGAACTGTTCAAGATATTGAACTAAGGTGGGGTCACACATTAATACAAATGAGAAAGTCACTGTCAAAAATCCAACCTCAATCTCCTTTATTGAAATCTTTTATTTGTAGGTCTTACATTCTAAGTTCATATCTGCGGAGCCCTGAGCTACCTTTCAAAGATGCTAAAATCTGTAATATTACAACTGTTTATATACTGTTTATATGGTATTTCACTGACATAAAAGGTGGGCAGCAAACTGTAAACCATTGTCTGTATTAGATTTAACTTAGATCCGTCTCTAAATGATCACATTGTATACATTATAGTCATGTTAATTTCCTTTATCGTATGTTGACAGTTATGTCATTCAGGCTTTCGTGCAACTCCCACTAACTGTATATTAGGAAAGAATATACATTCTAACCGTTTTGTTCAATTATTATTTTGTGTATTATTGTTGTTGTTACGTCAATGCGCATTACATTATATGTGTGGTATAAAATCGACCATCCTTAGTATTCTTTTAATCTCGGTGAACGAGTTCTATTCTTCTCTTCTAATTTTTATGTCAGAAATAGTTGGTAACACACAAGGTGATGTTTGAAATAATAACAATTTTTCACTTTTTATTTTAACATTATTTATCTTCATTCGACTTTTTAAACAGTCTTAGTCGAACAAGGCAATTACAAGCAACCATTCATATCTTAGGAGCTACTTTGAATCTTAAACTTTCTCGTTTGGTTTTGTTTCCCAATTTATTACACCCAGGGTGACATTGTAGAATTGATAGTTTGAACCAGAGTTGTGTAACCTTTGTGCGAGGAAGTTAAATGTAACGCTTTAGCATTTAGGACATCACGCTCACAATAAGAAAAAAAGAAAACAAGTTGGTAACTGTATCTTTATTGTATTTCTGGCAACTAGCATTTTCCCTGATGGCTAAGCATGACCTCTGATATCATCAGTCACAGATGACTGAATATGACCAACCAGCAGTGAAGGTGAAATAGTCATGTGCTCATTTCTGTTGGTATGTTTTGAGAGTTACTTTAGTTATGCTTATAGGCAGTCACTGTTTATATTTTAAATATTGAATGTTATTTATTTTCAGTTTTTTGATTCGATGGAAGAATTTTGGATTGTATCAAGAGCTCACATAATGATCAGCACAGAACATCAGCAAATAAACATATCTTCAATTTGTACACTGTCTTTATCCGGTACTCCTGAAGTATGTGAACCAAGATGGCAGACACTGGAACGTAGTGTGTACCAGGTTAGGATTAGGCCATGGTTTCAGGTACAAATACTACGGGAGTCACTTAGCTAGTCCCCAAACTCGTAATAGAACTAAAATAAGAAAAATTGGAATAAAATTATGGCCTAACCCTAACTTGGTACACATACTACGTTCCGGTGTCTGCCATCTTGGTCCACATACTTCGGCAGTACCCTTCATCTGCACCTCATCCCTTTTGTTTGCAATTTTGCCCATCCTAACAAAACTTCTATTATTCTACTTTGTAATTTTAATGCATAGTTTTTAGAATATATTGTTTTATTAGTGCTTTCTCTGTATACATTTCAATCATGATAAAAACAATACTGCAAGGTTAAGCTACAGAAAACTGTAAATGTTCCTAGCTAAGACACCATGCCCATACCACCAAACTGGAAAGAACTTTGTCATTCACCCTATTATGATTGAGCTAACTTTTATCATCTTTTCTCCCATAAGATGGGAAATAAAGACTGTTTGGCAACATTGATGCCATCCTAAAATCCAGGAAATCTTTTTTCATTGCTGTAGATGTTACTAATCTTCAACCCCATTCCCATAAAACCGTTAAGTAGACACCATGTTGTGTTTTATGATTGAGGTGTATTTCATCAGCTTTCTCTTCAAACTATAAGTTGGTTAATGCCATCTTCTGTCCTAAAAGTTCTTTTCTTCCAGATGTCATGGACAACTTTCAATTACACATTTTAGGCCTTTGACATTGAGACTGAGTTCCAAGTTTACATTCGCAGTTTATATGACTTGTCCAATCAGGGCACGCAATGTAGTCTTGGAATTACATGAGCGATTTATGAACTGTCCAATGGATTCCTACTAATTTTAATTATGGGAAACCCTGCTGTATGTGTATGGAATCGTCTAAACAGTACATGAGTTAAGATATGATGTATGGAAGACATCGCAACTATCATGTATTTATGTGAATTAGAAAAGCTGTTTCTAGATTCTTTTTTATTATTATTCTTACCAGGCCCTACGGACGGTCATGAAAAGATCTTCACATCTTGTGACATTTCCATAGTTGAAATTTCTGCTCACAGGATTATAAGTATTCTTTGTTTTCTCAGCATACTTTAGTTATCTTTAATATTCTGATTGAATACTTCACTCCGAACTTATATAAATAGTGACCCAACAGCAATGGCTGGTTTTGGAGACAATTTGTTTGATGTTTTTGAAGATGATTCAGCCGCAGGTGGAAAGTCTAAGAAGAATGAACAACCATCTGAGTAAGTGTTTAGACGTTTTTCAATCATTACTTTGTTACGTCAGTCTGTCTGTTAGATGCACGCGATATCTCACGAAAGCGAGATTGAATCTGCTCCAGATTTTCCATCTGCATTCATCATATGTCGTACCAGAAGCCTATTGATTTTGGATGAATTATGTCGTATAATTAGCGAGTTATTAATTAATTAGTGATGGGACACAAGGTGTCACTATGGAGTAAGAGCGCTGTTTTGGGGGATCCCCTAACTTTCGATCGATAAGTCTTCGGTCTCTGACCCATATTCTCGTTTAATGTCTTTTTAGATTAGTATAAGTGTCTGTGGATGAAATTTCTTGTGGTTTCACCAAGCAGTGCTTTGAAAAAGCACTTACAAAAATACTCAGCCCTCTGGTGGCCAAAATGATCTTTATTATTTTCGTTAAGCATAGCCAATACAGTATTTTGTATTTCTTAAAACATTAGCATTGTTCAAAAGTTATTTTTTGTTGTTGACAGACCTCCATTAAAAGAAAAACCTCTGAAGTCAAAAAAGAGAAAACACGAAGAAGGAAACAATGGTATTTATATTTCCTATATATAGGGTGTCCATGAGGTCTTAAAATTTTTTAAATTTGCAAAGGAATTTTCCGATGCTATTTATTGTTTTGGCTCTCACAGATGTATTAAATGAAGTGAAAATACTTAAACAATTACTGATTAAAAAACTACAAACCTGGTTAAGATATTGAGAACTGACTTCATACCAAAATTCGAATTGTAAAGGGTTTTTATGGACACCCTGTATTAATATTGACACTTCTGCTTCAAGTGAGGTTTCGTACAAGCTTTTACTGATACATACTAAGCTGGTATGTGTTTGAAAGGAACAAATCTTACGGGTTTGTCAGTTCCTTCTTGGTTTATAAGCTCTAGGTGAGGTCGCTTAGGTTTAAACCCCAGTCCAGTAGGAGAATTCATATTTGAAGTTCAAATACATCTTTCGACATGTATTCGAAAAAGCAAATTTTTTGTTGTTGGTCATAGATGGAAGCCGTGGAATGCAAGGAATTAATATTTGAAATTTTTAAAAGTTTTTATAACTTTTACGCGGAAGAGTAAGCGTAAGAGTATTCAGAGAAGAAATCGCTTTACCCTTAATATGTCAATGTGCGGCGCTCCAAAAGTATGTCTAGCAATAAGGAGGTGTCTAATTTTGTTCGCCTACTTCACATCAAGTTGTGTAAAGGGACTGGAAACCAATGGGCAGGGGTATATTTACTTGGCTAAAACAAACAGTCCCAGAACTTGTAATAGAACTGAAAATAAGGTAAATTGGAATGAAATTATTACCTAACCCTAACCTACACATACTACGGGATTACCCAATGTGCTGGCTTTGCAAGGTAGCTGTTATTCCTGGTGGCTGTTTTATACTATTTCCTCCCAGGTAATGCTCCTCAAATATAATTATTATTTCTTCTCAGTTGTTGATTCAGAGAATGAATCAAAGCCTGAGAAAGCTGATCAAGATGAAATAGAAAAGATGAAACAGAAAGCAATAGCAAGAGTTGAACAAATTAATTTTGAAGAAAATCAAAAGAAAATGAAAATAATTGATCAAGCTGATGATTTAGCAAGGTGAGTTTCACTCAAGATTTGTTGTTCATTGCCCAATAAATGCACAAAATTTCATGTTTATGCTTGTTCCATGGATTCTGCTTTGTCATTGTCTGTTTAATTTCAGTGTAACGAATATGGCAATCCTCTTTTATTAATATTGATACTATTAATGCTTCATTCAGTAATTTATGTTGATTGACTAAAGTTAATGTTTTAATTCTCTCTTACTCTATTCTTATTGTCTTTATGTATGCTATTCCATCCGATTTCAAGGGAGACTCCTGAAACATGTCCTAGAAATCATATGTTCCTCCTAATATTCCTCTCCTTTTCAGCATTCTTGAATCTCTTCCAAAAGTTGAAACAAAATCCATGGAATCATTGATATCGGGTTGTAACCATGAAGTTGCTTTCACTATCGGTGTTGAAGTTCCTCCTCTGAGACCAAGACAGGTAGACTGTTTTACTTTGTTCTGTGCTCAGAACTCACTCTCCTGTATATCATATATGTTTAGTTTGGTTTAAGTCTACCTATCGTTATGTCATTTTTGCACAAAAATCAGTCAGAATAATATCGAGCTACATAGAGGATGCTGATGTTGCCAGTCATTTTTTACCAGTCTTAACAGGTCCATGAATTGTGTGTGTATAAGTTGAACTTCGAGACTTTGCTAAACTTATTAAATAATTAGGCTTATTCATCACAGCACTGTTTGGATAGATCTGATATCAAGCTATACAATGGAGAATTCAGGATATTAAGAAGCTTCAAACTTTAGGAAAAACTTTTCTCTGTGTAAAACTCCGTTATCCTATGTTTTCAGGGTCCACCAGCAAAGCAATACAAATTCATCTTAGATCCATTCCAACAAGAAGCTCTTCTCTGCCTTGATAACAATCAATCAGTTCTGGTGTCTGCTCATACTTCTGCTGGGAAAACAGTTGTTGCTGAGTATGTCTGTTAATTTTTATATGTCTGTATTTTCAAAATGATTGAGTGGTGTTGTCAGTTGCATTTGTTTCATAGTGGCATTTTGATTATATTTGAGATTGGACTTTTGCATTGACAACCAATGCATTTGGAATTATCTCGTTTTGAAGCAGCACTGAAAGTACTGATTGATAGTTTTTAATCCCAGCATTTTATATACTCTCCACATATCAGTGATTGTATTGGGCTTTTTCTATGTTTGTATTTCCAGTATATCATTCTGATAATCCCTAATACCCACTGAGATACTGTATTGTAATATGAGACCTTGATTGCAAACTTTTTCGAGTAACTTACCCTAACTATGAATGAATAAGATTGCGCGCTTTTATATAATAATTCTGAATCCCCTCGATTCTGAATATATGCATCCACTGATATGTACGGATCTACTATTTTCATAAAAACTGGCTTTGCGTTTCGCATTGCCTATGTCATGGGCATGGGGTTTAAAATCGATATGTGTAACATGCAATGCCAATGGAGTCCAACACTTCAACCGCTAACAAAATCTCAGCAATTGACTTTTATTCATTCGCACAAAGCACTCGTCCATTTCAATTACATTTTCATTGTGTGTTATAATCTTCACAGATACGCAATAGCCATGTCTTTACGAGATAAGCAAAGAGTCATCTATACAACACCTATAAAAGCGCTGAGTAATCAAAAGTATCGAGAACTTTACGAAGAATTTTCCGATGTTGGTTTGATGACAGGTGATGTCACAATCAATCCCACAGCATCTTGCTTAGTCATGACGACAGAGGTGAGTTTATTTACACTTCAAGGATTTTCTGGCGCTCTAGAAGTATGTTTACCAATATGGAGGTAACTAATTTTGTTCGCCTATTTTACATCAAGTTATTAAAAGGAACTGAAACCTATGGACAGGGGGTATATTCACTTGCCTAACACAGACAGTCCCCGAACTCCAAATAGAACTAAAATAGGGAAAGTCTGAATAAAATTATGGCCTGACCCTAACCTGGCACACACACTACGGGACTACCAAATCTACTGGTCTTCAGTCGCATTTGTTACTTAACTCTTTTGTTCCGTATAACATATATATTCGTACTACAATCCTTGGTCATAATAGTTATTTTCGGACTATTTTACGTTTATGTTCATGTTTTGTGAAGTATTCCGCACTAACTAAATCATTTTGAGCATCCAACTATGATCCGTGCTTGATCTGTCAACATTTTGTTTTTTTGTAAATTTTTTATTTTACTACTAAGTGAATTTTATTTGTGTAGGTATTTCAAAGCTTAGAGATACACGAAAGTATTTGTCATTACTTCAAAAATAAGTCATTTGAACGAGCGGGAAACAATTTCGCGCACATAATAAACAAACAAAGATTCCAGACAACTATCGTGGACATGCTCTCACATATCATTGATTATTTCGCGTTTCGCTTCGCTTGCGAAGCTGAGTCTGGTTTTTCTGCAAAGGTGACGTAACTCTCTTTCAGAAGAGCGCTTGGAATTTCGTTTCTTTGTAACACGTGTTCATCGAAGCGATAAGAGTGTGAAACGTTCTCTCAAAATTTTTTGAAAGTTCTCTCTTCTTACACGCGTAGGGTCAAACGGTTTCGCCTACGTCATTTGGGCGCGTTTTAGTAGGAAGACGCGAAAATAAGCTTTTTAAAGAGATATTGGGGGTGTTCCTTGTACTTTTGGTTAACTGGTCATTACATATTATAAAATGGTACATAAAGTCGATTGTATACAGCGGAAAAAAAGGGTTAAAGTATGTTGATAGATATTTGTCTGTCTGTATGTCTGTTTGTCTGTGTGTTAGATGCACGCGATATCTCACGGAAGCGAGGTTGAATCTGCTCCAAATTTGCATGTGCATTCATCATGGCTCGGATCAGAAGCCTATTGATTTGGATGGATTATGTCTTATAATTAGCGAGTTGTTGATTAATTAGTGATGGGACACACGGTGTCACTAAGGAGTAAGACCACTGTTTTGGGGGATCCCCTAACCTTTGATCGATAAGTCTTCGGTTTCTAACCGATATTCTAGTTTATTTTTTAAGGATGCTTATTGAAAAAAAAAAGCCTAATCCAGAAGATGAGATAATAGACTAAATTAGATTTCCTATAAAATTAATAATGAAATTTGATTTGTTTTTCAATTTCAACAAGTATTATGTTGTTTCTTCTACTGAGTTTACACTTTGTTGTTTCAGATTCTTCGAAGTATGTTATACAGAGGATCGGAAGTTATGAGAGAAGTCGCTTGGGTTGTTTTTGATGAAATACATTACATGAGAAATAAAGGTTTGTATCATTTGATGATCTACACTTCCAGTTTCAGTTTGCATTTAACAAAGAATATTAAAATATTTACAGTCCCTTGTTCTAGTCGCTCTTGCATTTAACAAGGGTTATTCACAATATCCAATAAGAAAGCCAATAAGACGACTTAACCACATGCCAAACCACAGCCAGTTACCAGTCCAAGTCCAGCAAACATCTGCGATCCCACGCAGTGTGATCAGAGGTGTGTTGGCGAGCGTATTTCTAACGCTTAGCATGATGTGCCACATCGCCTAACTAGTTATTCTCTATTTTCATTGAAGTCTCATTTATTTAACAGAGAGAGGTGTCGTCTGGGAGGAAACCATAATTCTACTTCCCGACAATGTACGCTATGTGTTTCTTTCTGCTACGATTCCTAATGCCAGACAGTTTGCAGAGTGGATTTGTCATCTTCATAAACAACCATGCCATGTTGTTTACACTGATTATAGACCAGTACCTCTGCAACATTATGTGTTTCCAGCTGGGGGAGATGGACTGCATTTGGTTGTGGATGAGAATGTTAGTGAATATGTTGATACTGTAATATTTTTTTTGTTAATTTCTGCCAACACTGCCTGTTTTCTCCTTCCATTGTTACTGTTTTCCCTCTTTTGCTTTTGTATCGGCTTGTCCTTGCTTCTAAGTATTGCAATTTGGGTTGCTGTACAAAGATAATGGGTACTCCCGTAGTGTGTGTTCCAGGTTAGGGTTAGGCCATAATTTCATTCTGATATTTCGCTATTTTAGTTCAATTACATGTTCGGGGAATGTCTGTGTTAGCCAAGTAAATATATCCCCTGCCCTTAGGTTTTAGTTCCTTCATACAACCTGATGTAAAGTAGGCGAACAGAATTAGTTACCCCCATATTGGTACACATACTACTGGAGCGCCAGATAATGTATCTGATATAATTGTGTAATAATTTTGTTTAATGAGTGGTATATTAGTCAGGTTAAGCGAATGTGTATTCTGGTATAGTTGGGTATGAGAAAACGAATTCATGAAGATTAATATTTCAAAATTCATCACATTGAATAATAGTACCAGTAACCAATAATAGCCAGAACCAGTGTTTGGTGGGCTATATAAAACTAAAATCTCTTTTTTCAAGGATGACGTCTCTGTACTTCTAAGTGCGATCATTTGATTTACTGGAGTTAGTGTGCGATATAGTTGATCACTATGTCTGTCTTTCAACGTACAAACACATTTCAAAGGATAGGATTTAGATATTTATCCCGGGGGAGAGGCAAGAGGGCGGCTTTCCATATGGCGAACCACGGCCTCTCGTCCGGTTACCATTCCATGTTGGGTATGGAATTACTGATAGTTATTTATTGGCTTTCAGAAGCATGGACTTGTTGGTGGAGGAAGCCGTAACCGACCACGGTTACATGAACCACCCTACAGCGGCAAGGAGTCCAGCAATTTCTTGCACATAACCATCCCTGCATGGGATTTGAAGCTGCGAACCCACGCAGAGTAATCAGAGGTGCAGTGGCGAGCGTATTCCTAACACTTAGCACTATGAGCCATACCGCTGTGCCGAGTAAGCTGTTTAAATTTATTTGTTTTCCATTTCCAGGGTAACTTTCGTGAAGATAATTTCAACACTGCGATGGCTATATTACGTGATGCTGGTGATAATGCAAAGAGTGATTATAACAGAAGAGGAAAGAAGGGTGGACAACAGGTAATTGATCGGTGTTTATCTGTACTTTGGGACTTTTAATTGGAGCTTGTGTATGATATTTTTAGGTTGTGCCATTTAAGTTATGTTGTCAGTGCAGTTAGGGTACTATAAATACAAAAGGCCTAAGTTTGCATATTTGTGTACAGAATAGGATAGAAGGCATCTTATGAATTTTTGTATTAATTATTTAGAACTCCTATACAATACAACTTCTATACATGATTTGAGCGTCTTGCTACACACTGACTCAAGTCTCTTTCGCAAAAATTTGTGTGACTGATGCTAAACTTTTTCTGGCAAGCATATATCAATGGTTAAATAAATGCAAGAAATATTTCCTAAATGTGGTGAAATTCTATATCACCTGCTGGGTGGTCCAAATCCAGGCCCGCGGGCCACCTGCTTCATTATCTGTGGCCCATGTCACATTCGGAGAGTAATCAAAAATTCGCATTTCGTGTTGTCTCGTCATAAAATTATTCAGAAAAATCGTTTGACATATTGTTACATCACTTATGTCACTGAATTGACTAGTGTTATGGCTAGCTGAGGCAACTAGCGAAGTTGAATGATGTGCTTGGCAGTATAAATTATTATCTGGCTTTCTATCTTTTTGGCCAGGAATATATGCTAAATATAGGCATCATAGAAAACTAAAATTGCCTGGGATGGCTATGTCTGATGACTATGTGTTCGCACAATAAAAAATGTTCGTTTTGTATTTCACGGGTCGAAGATGAAAATGAGCGTCATTTTGAAAATAAAAAATGTTTTTTATATTACTATTATCAGGGTGCCAACGGTTGCTTCAAAATAGTCAAAATGATCATGGAAAGAAGTTTCCAGCCAGTTATTGTCTTCAGCTTCAGCAAGAAAGAATGTGAATTTTATGCTTTACAAACTTCAAAATTGGATTTCAATTCAGGTATATGTCTTTTTATTTAACACTTTCGATGCCAAGATCAGTTTTTCCAATTTTACCGTTCCGTGCCGAGGTGAAAACGAGAGAGTTCTCTCCTATTCATTCTCTCTCGTATTTAGTTTTTGATTCATCGGGAAAGGGGCGAACCAAGCGGTGTCATCAGTTATCGTTCATTCCGACACTTCAGTCGTAGGTGAAAGAACTCACCTACACACGCGTATCTTGTCGGAATTGCTCTCTCATGCTATTATAACATAAGTTGATGATAACTTGTCTTGATCTCTCATTGCGATAAAGATTCAATTCGAACATTTTATTCAGCAATCAGAATCATTTTATTATACGAAAATATCAAATTTGAACAAAGAAAACAAAATCGTTTACTAGCATAAAAATATATCCTTCATTCGCTATATATTCCAATAAATTAATAATGGCCAATTATTGTCACTCACAAGGATAACATATTGCAAAATAAACAAAGTAGTCACATTGCATATTCATACAACTGTAACACATATGTATCTCTATGACCTCGTCACCATACAATACGTCGAAAGTATTGAAATCGGCCTCTATATCTTGCCATAGTAGTGCGAGTATTTGTCCTTTTCGTAGTGAGATGATTTTCCCTTTCTTTAGTTTTGTTTTTATTTCTGTGGAGTCCCTTCCGGTTTGCCATGACTGTTCCCGTTATCGATGTTTTCCTTCGCTGCATTCTCGGCTAATGCGACAGAGTTATAGAGTCCTAAATTAAAATGAATATTATTAAAAATTGGTTGTGATAAAACAGTTTATGCAATTGATTGATATATCCGACAATGATTCGTTATCTAAAATAGAACGCAGTATGGCGCCGAGACGTAAATTATCTAATTTGTCTTATCAATACCGAATAATCAACATACCTATCAACAAATACGTGATATCCTCTATCCAGATGACTTTCCATTAGTTGCAAAACTAAATTCGAAGTTTTTGTGACGCCGGGTGGAAGTTGTTCCAAGTTTGGATTACCATAATCTATTTTTACATTGAAAATGTATCCAGTTGTTGAATCACTCGCACTACTATGGCAAGATAAGAGGCCGATTTCAATACTTTCGACGTATTGTAATGGTGACGAGGTCATAGAGATACATATGTGTTACAGTTGTATGAATATGCAATGTGACTACTTTGTTTATTTTGCAATATGTTATCCTTGTGAGTGACAATAATTGGCCATTATTAATGTTATTGGAATATATAGCGAATGAAGGATATATTTTTATGCTAGTAAACGATTTTGTTTTCTTTGTTCGAATTTGATATTTTCGTATAATAAAATGATTCTGATTGCTGAATAAAATGTTCGAATTGAATCTTTATCGCAATGAGAGATCAAGACAAGTTATCTCCAACTTATGTTATAATAGCATGAGAGAGCAATTCCGACAAGATACGCATGTGTAGGTGAGTTCTTTCACCTACGACTGATGTGTCGGATAATACCGAAACATGCGTAATACATTTCAGGTGCGTTTGTATCTTAGTATTGCTCCTGAGTTTTCGTCGGGCGCTTCCAGATTTGGTGGGTTCAGTCAGTAAACGATGAAATTCGAAGTCTTTACTTGCCTCGGCAAACATTTCATTCAATCTGGTATTTATAGCGAGCAAATACTTATTTGTGTGGATATTTGAACTAATATTGGCGTGCAAATGAAGTATTTCCAAATGCAATTTCAATATTCATTATACGCATCCGGTGTCTCTAAGTTGACATAATAAAAAGGTTTAAAGCTTCATCGAAATTCGTCAGTTGATCTGTCAAGAACACGATTTTCCGAAATTGTCATCTCACGCAATTTGCTACGCAAGTCGTCTCGACTGCACGTAGTCCCGTCTTCGTGGCGCCAGACACGTGATCGCTATTGCGTAGCTACGTAATCAGTACGCCATGGCTGCTTATTGAACTTGTTCATCCGACACAAAGTCGTAGGATTGCATATTTTGCTATAATTATGGTTATACAATAGCTACGGAAGTAATTCAATATGAGCTGAAAGCATACGAGGGGCACTGTGTTATTGGTAATATATTTCCCACTAAATTACTATATCTCGGATCATATCTCACTGACAAGTAGAAAAATATATGTTCCGAATAATATCAATTTCTCACTTTATTATTTCAAAATGTAACATTTCACCTCTCAGGACGATAAAATTTGCTTTCGTTGCAGATGTCCGTCAATCCGTTACCCAAAAATGATAAAAAATTAAAAAAACGTTCAAAAATACCAACATTTTGAATCATTTCATCGTCCTGCCAATAAGACGACGATCATGCATATAAAAATATTCGAATTATTTCCCGGTTTAGTAATGTTTTTCTACATCTTCGTAACATGATTGATAATATTATCATCTCTCCTCACACCTTTCAATCATTTCACCGTAAAAAGTTGAAACCGTGTGTTGGCGTCAGTCGGTCTCGTACAAATTTTTGATGATAATTTGCGGCTAATATGTACCTCGGCCATGCTGAATAAGTTGATAATTTACTTCATGGCAGACCCTCCTTCCATCTTGGTATTTCTTGAATGACGCGATTGGCTGACGACGTCATTCTTTCCCCCCAACTTGACAACAAGAGAGAGAGAGAGAAGAAAAAAAGACGGCAAATACCTGAACTCGACCTTCTTCTATCTATTAAACTTTTTCCTTTTCGAATGACGTATATATACGTCATTTTGCATTGATGGCACGGAACGGTTGGCGCCAAATGACGTATATATACGTCCTTGGCATCGAAAGTGTTAATCTGATTTTTGGCAGTTTTTTATTTTTGTGCAAACCATACATAGTTCACAAAAAAGACTAAATGATTCTGGTTCTAACACAAATAAGAAAAATTAAAAAGCAATTTGGGATTGACTAGAAATTCCTTACACAAACTGTGATATCTAATCTATAACAAATTAATTTTTTTGCAGTTTGAGACTTAGCAATAGGCCCTAATGATGCTAAAAAGCAATGAGTTTGGTTTGTTGGGCCCTGCTTGCTGTGATTTAGAATTCAAAATATTCTTTGCCTGTGCTAAATTTATTCAAAATCTTCCTGGCCTATGAGGCACAGATAACTTTAAGTGAGGTTTTCTGGACCCTGTGCAGTGTGATTTGTCAGTCGAAATCTTCTCCATGTTTTTCTGTAATAAATTTATTCAAAATCTTCTCAACAGCCGAAGAGAAGAAACTTGTCAGTGAAGTTTTCACGAACGCCATCGATTCATTAAATGAAGAAGATCGCTCTCTCCCTCAAGTAGAAGCTGTTCTACCGTTGCTGAAACGTGGAATAGGAATCCATCATGGAGGATTGCTACCAATTCTTAAGGAAACGATAGAGATTTTGTTCTCTGAAGGGTTAATTAAGGTGAATTTGTTCTCATATTTTATTTAATGCAAACAATAAAAATGCAAAAAGAATTTTTGACATAAAATCAATATTCAAAATGATAGCGATAACATTTATAAATATTTGCTTGTAAAATAAATGCTAAACTTTTTAGATACTTGTTGTGCAGTCAGAGATGCCAAAGTCGAATAGTTTACCTTTTTAAACAACTGAGGCAATATTTTTGAATTCTGAATATTTAATATTTTCTGTATAGGGCCTCAATCAACAAGGAAATTATGTTATTATGTTCAACTGAGAAATTTGAATAAATTATTATCAATTCGAAAAAAATAATATGGTATAATGTGGGATAGTTGATATAAATGTTGCTTTGATTGATTTCTAATATTCGACATCATATGTTAAATTTTTTGTCTTACCATCGGTTGTGAAATGTGCAAAATATATGGTATATAAGTATAGTATAGGGTGTCCATAAAGCCTTAAAAGTGTTTAAAACTGCAAAGGAAATTTATCGATACCATATATTGTTTTGGCCCTCACAGATGTATTAAATGAAGTAAAAATACTTAAACCATTACCGAACTGACTTCATAACAAAATTGAAAATGGACTTTATGGACACCCTGCATCATAAATATTTCCAAAATCAAGAATCTCCTCCATCGAATACAACCAACTTTGAATGTATCTGAAAATTTGATTCGATCTGGCCTTCCTTTCCTACATTCAATTCTCTCAACCCTCAGTAACCACAAAGCGATTGGGCATATAAACCAGAGACACCAATTCTTCCTAAGCCTTATGCATATTTAGAGCATTGTTGTAAGCTGTGAATAATATTCAAAGAATTGGACCCGTTAGATTGAAAAACTTTATTCTTACATTAATCAACTATATTTTCTCTATTCATCTATTCAGTGCCTTTTTGCAACTGAGACATTTGCAATGGGAGTAAACATGCCTGCTCGTACTGTTCTCTTCACAAGTACAAGAAAGTTTGATGGAAAAGATTTCAGATGGGTGAGTTTGTACAATCCTTGCAAAGTCTAGCTGTATTTCTTATATAAAAGCATTCCAATGGCAAGCAAATTGGTTGCTTAGCAACATATTAAAATTAGCGGAACACATAAGCCTACCGGTAGTTCGGAAGTTTGTACAGTTTTGGATAATTATCAATTGATAAATACCTTGGAAGTTCAATATATAGAAGTATTATCGGTTGCTGAGTGCTAAACTGAAATTAGTAAACGCAAAGCTATAGATAAATCAAAACATTTTGAAAAGTTTTCAGCAATTTTATAAGCTTGTTTGAGGACACAATGGGCTACTGTCTCATGTGGGCATCATTGACTGTATAAAGAGCAATGGCAAAGACGTCACCGAAATGCCAGGATTTTCATGACAGCTTTACATTGCCAATTGTTGGTTTATATTCTTAGTGAAAATATTGGTATTTTGACAATCAACAGAACATTGGGATACATCAATTAAATAAAAGGCATCAATGCTATGTTTTAGAAGAAAATTTTTAATCACCCAGTGTATAAATGCAAAGTTACACTAATGAATACTTTACTATAGTTTAATCATGAACTGAATATTTGTCAAATTAATTTAGTCATCAGAAATGCTTTATCACCATTGCTCAGTATTCTAATATTATGAAATCGATTTTGTCACCAGATGGCAATAGAGAGGCTATATACACTTATATTTCTAAGGTTATAAGGTTATGAAAATGGAACAATCATTTCATTTACATTTCTCCAATTTGGATATCTAAAGTTTTGTTATTAAACCCTATTTCCGAAGTATACATACAAAAAATTATGAAAAATTTGGTATATTCAATGATACGATGGTGAAAATGAAACTTTGTAAGATTTTTATTACTTTGATTAAATAATTTAAGTGAAGTTAGTTTGAAATGTAAATAGTCGATTTTCAGCAAATTAAAATGCAAACATCCTTGAAAAATAGCTGACTTGGATGCTTGTTTCAAACTTAATTGGAATAAATTTCCATAACAAAGAATAAACAATGTTGAAGAATATTCAATGCTTCAAAGAATAAAAGAATTAGCAATAAGGATTCAAATTCTATATCACAAATAATAAAAGCAAAATCGAATATCCTTTTGTCAGTAAATGCATATTTGTTTGAAGATATAAAGGCTTATTATATAAGTATTGTAACGTCTACAGAAATTGAAATGAATATAAATAACAAATATTCAAATAAATTATGACTATATTATGCAAACAATAACATAAAGCTGAAAATAAAAAAGTTTGTGAATAAGTATTTGAAGGCTGAAGAATTTAAATTTAAGACAGCATACAAAAATCCTGAAAGAGTAAATATATATTACAATACAGTGGGTTATAATGACACTTTTAGCTTTATTTTTATCTCTTCTACCAAGTTAATTTGTAATATAAATAGTCAATTTTAGCAAATTAAAAGTGCAAACTTCTGTGAGAAATGGCTGACTGGAAACTTGTTTGAAATATTTCAGAAACAATAGAATCATATCAGTTGATCTAACTTCTGTATTGAAGGCAAATAATTCTGTTTTTTTTTTTCAGTAAATGAATATTCGTTAGAAGATATAGGGGCTTGTGAATAATGAATGGCCAAAATATTGTTGAGCATGAATAACAAATATTGAATAAATACATGATTGAATGGCACAAACAGTAACATAAACATCTTGAAAATAAATAAATGAGGAACATAATATATCATAATACATATTGTCATGAAAATATAAAAGTTAAAGTAAAATAATTAACTGATCGATATTTTTTACACGCTAAACCGTGCAATATCTCGTATTTGTATCAGTTTTTTTTCGCATTCCTTTTTTCAAGCTCTGCAATCAACTGAGCCGTACCTTTTTACGGGGTGTACTGAAGGGTGCAATATTTTGCAATTTGGTCTTCGTTTGTTTTGCAATTTGGTTTTCGTTCATTTATGCTTGGATGTTTTTAATCTTCACAATACAAATAATAAAGGTTGTAAATACAAAATAGAGAAATAATGTTAATTCTGAATCATGTAACTTTAAAATATTTTATCACTAGCAATTATGGTATTTTTTGGATAACTCAATGATGGGCGTGGTGGACTATTGGTTATAGCGTTCGACTTAACTATGATTGCATTACAGGTTAAAATTTCTGTGCAAATCTAATGCCAACTAAGCGATATTTGATATTTGCAAAACTGTGCAATATGTAGTTTTTGTTAATAGTTTCGTTTATTTATGCTGGGATGAATTTTTATCACACTGTGAAGACATAAAGTTTTGTGTTGATTCTAAAACACAAGTTTAGAAGTTTATTAGTTTATTCTGATCTGTAATGGTAATGGTAGTAACTCATTACCAGTGGCCGCTTGTGCCAAGGTTTGTTCATACCGAAATAAGTATATTGTTTTTTCATAAATCAATTATGAATGCCTTTAAAATTAATCAGAATCTGAATGAAATACCCATACATAATATAGATTTTTAGGCATTGAATGACGTAATATGGTTAACGATGTAGAACTTTTTTGAAATGTATAACCCATAGTTTCGAAATATTACGGGATTTTAAATCTAGTACACACTAACAACTACAGTTGAAATATGCTTGTCTGAAAAAGGTCTGACCTTGTCAGACCAAATGTTAAAAAATACATTCGTGTTAGTGTGAAGCAAGACTCTTGAAGTATAGTCAAGTTTATTTCTTCTACAGCATCCTTGCATTATATGCATACGGATTCACCAACGCAAAGGTTGAGGGAAGTAGGGAATTAGTCTTACATAGCCACAACTCCATGTTAATACAACCAAATAGCAATCTTTTATTTTTGCACTACAGCATAAACGCATGAAGGGTCTTCTTGAACAGTCATAGTTTCGTTATTTCCTCCACTAGTTGTATTTTTAGCTTGTTGAGCATCATTTTTTTGCACAACCGAGTATAAAGCTGCCACATCTGTGTCATCATTGCCATTGACTTCTTTTTTCTCTGGAACTCTGTAATCGTCCGCTGTGCCGTAGAGAATGTTGTCAACCATTTCTTTTTCGTTGTCAGGGTTGCTTTCTTTCACTTCTGTAAGCTTAACAGGTTCTTCTGGGCTTGGTTTCTTGGACTTGCAGTATCTGTATGAAATCAAATGAACAGTCAGTTTCATATAAGTGCTGCGGCCTAGAACAGTGGTTCTCAAATGGTGGTGCCATTTTTTGAGGGGGTGTGAAGCTAATAAAAAATAAAAATACTTGTTAGATTTGATCTTGCCCGCCTTATTTTGGATATTTACATTTCCACGTATTTTCTACGTGTTTTTTAAATAAAACATACTTTCGCTTTACTATTTGTTATATGTTGCTATTATTAGCTATTATTTTTGATGTGGGGTGCGGGACGGGACAAATTTCAAAAAAGTGGCGGGGCCTAAAAATTTTGAGAACCACTGGCCAAGAGAACGGGTTCTCAAGAATGATTGATCGGAGGGCAAAATTAGAAGCAGAATGATCTTCACAGGTCGGGAGAGGAGAGCGTATGTAATCCTATTCCCAGTACATTTAATTAAGATACCGGTATAATTGAATTGTTAGGCATATACAATGGTTACCACTGTCCTAGAGCAATGGTTCCCAGATTTTAGAGGCAATTGACTACTTCAAAGATTCAACACTTATACGTTTCTAATGCAGTTCAGTTTCGGTGTCTCGGTGGTTAAAGTGTTGGACCAAACTACGTTGATAGCATCACAGGGTAGAAATCGTGAATTTGTATCCAGTGCTGGGAGGTTTGAGACACTAACTTAACTCTAGTGTTAGAATCGAGTCACTCTTTGTCAATGACTCTGAACAATGAAAAACTTTTCACATCTAATTGGAATGATTAGTACTATACTATAAGCCATTGTTAGTCAGTTAATTTGGGTGCATTGAGGATTGATTTGGCTTGAGTCTGAATGAATTGAGTCCCGACTTGGCTGACGACTCAATTTTAGGATCTTTTACTCAGCACTGTTCATCTATCATACCCATGACCTCACTCGAAGTATAATGAATTGGTTGGACAATGTCAATCGAAAAGCTTTCATTTTTTCCCGATTATGAATATTCACTCATTGCATATCGGGTACTCTCGTCGTGTGTGTACCAGTTAGGGATCGACCATGTACTACGTTCCGGTGTCCGCCATCTCGTTGCACATACTACGGGAGTACCGAATCATTTTTAAAGAAAACTCACCTTAATGTCAGTAATATAGCAATGCCAATCACAAGCAATGCTACTATACAGGCAACAATAATTATGATTGTTGTTGAATTGGATTCTGCTTTAGTTGTTGATGAAGTAGCATTTGACCCTTGACCTTGTCCTTTTGGAGTAATTCCATTGGTGGATTCTGAGGAAACAAAGAAAATGCTAAATGAAAAGACAATCTTTGTAATAACTTTAATAGAAATTGATGAAAAAATAGGTTGAAGAATTCAAAATTCGTACCTAATTATTCACTGTGTATTGACCTATTTATCTATCTATATATCACATACACTTCTGTTAATGCACAGAGTAATATTTTATACGAATTAAAGTTATTAACCTAATGTTAAACATAAATCTAGATATTTTGATTCTGGATGGTTTTTTACCAACCTAAAATAGTTCAATTGGTTATTTAGGGAATCCAAAAGTTAAAACCTAAACTTTATTTATTTATGGAAACTATAGTGATATTCACGATTTTTTCTTTTTTCAAGTTAGTTATACTCATATTATTAATTTTTATTTAATGCATCGTGTTTAGAACCAATTTTACTTGAATATGTACACTGCGTATCAGAAGTGTGATGGCGAGCGTATACACCTAGCGTTTACCACGAAGTGCCACACGGACGAGCTGAACTAGAATTGTTATTTATGCAGAATTTGTTGAAAAATGCTTTTAAAAATTCTAGTAGATATAATAACTGTGAAATACAACTTATTATGATGCATTTCTATGACAATAAATGCACAAAAGTTCTATAACGAATATTTGTATGAAATTATTCTTCTCACCACCAGTTTGATCTCCTCTAGCTGTGCTTCTTTTTTCTAGACCTGTTTGAGTGGATGATTGTAGTTCTAAACTTGTTGTTTCAATTAGTGTTGTTGCTGTTATTAGAATTATTTAGTTCCTAATGTGTTTATGATTGGATAAGATTTGTATATTGATAGGAATTATATGTTATAGAAAAGCTGATTAGACAGCTTAATCATATAGCGAACCATGGCCTCTCGGCCAGGTATCAGTCCATGTCGGATGTGAGATTAATAATTCAGTTATGTGAGTCAGATGCATAGACTGGTGTTTAGCACGATGCGCCACACTGAACTAACCTGATCGGTTAGTTATTCTAATTTTTTAATTTTATCTTGAATTTCCGTTCACAAATTTTAAAACTGAAAAATCGTCAAAAACCCCTAGAACCTTGCCAAAACGCGTAAAAACGTGCACTGTTTTTGTTCTCAATATTAATATTCTATTATTTGAAGATAATTGCTTATAACTTCCTGTTTTTCTTTAATATAGCCAACTATTATTAACGTATTTCAAGATTAGCTCATATTGTTAGGACAAGTTTTATGATCTTTCGATGTACAAGAGAACTTACTTGGGTCTGGGGTTGTAGTTGTTGGTCTACAATCTATCACAAGATATTGTATTGTGAAGTATTTTGTGTAACCAGCTGAATTTCCTGCATAGTATAGTATCTTATATGGGTTCCCTTCAACTTCATTCCATGGAGTGATTGAATCACAGGTGTGGTTTGCAACTGGAGTTTTCTCTCTGATTTTGTTGATATTGCAAATGGTTGATGCAGTTGCAAATACAAGACAGTAGTTGCTCTCAAAATCACATCTGTGTCGAATAGCACCTGTACGAAATATCTTGTTATTTGAATACATAATGGATGTTACAACTTTAGACATGCTGTGTTTAGGTAAGGAATGTCACACTGATCCAAGTGTTACTGATCGAAGTACTTGTTGTGGTTTTCTTAATGATTGTTAACTTCAATATAAGGTAAAATATTATTTTTCAAAAAGATTTTTATTCTGATTTGATGGGGTTGAGCAAGTGTGTTCATTCGATTTCTGAAAACTATCGCTGTTATTCTTAGCTTCTGTATATTCCTAAATTTAAACTAAACCTGTCAAGACTTAATATTGGACTAGGCTGTGATTTTTTACTTCCATAGAATATAAAAGGGCGTTAAGTTTTGGGTCATGTAGAAAATAATATCCTCACAGACTCAACACTTACTTGGAAATCTGATTGCTCCAGAGCAGTCTGTACTTCCAGCACCAGTTGTCATTGGCAGTGAAACATTTTGTAATAACAGAACAAATGCAGTTTCATGATCTGTGTCCATTCTTTTTGGTATTGTCCAATCACATTGGCAGTTGTAATCATAACTTGGTCCATATGTGATATTCATGCTCTCTTTTCCAAGTATTGTTGTTTGGCAATTACTGCATGATTGTGCATCATTCAGACATATACGATACCCTGCATGAAGAAAAATTAATCATAATGACAATTTATACAATATAAAATACTTCATGAACTTTATGTACTCGGACATAAATATTGAAATGTGAAGGTAGTATTTTATTTGAATTTGTTATTGAGTATTAACCCTTTCCGTGCGGTGCGGTAGGCACGTATACGTAGCCACGACAAAACTCGCTAGATTGCGGCGGGTACATTGATGTACTCCACTGTTTCATTTAGCAATCGGTCGCAAACTGTTGGTCTAGTTTTTCCGGGTTTTAGTTTATTGATAAGAAGTCTTTTTCGAGATTAACATAAGCGACGGTAAATCTCGCTTTCGTTTACCATGGGAATTTTATTTGCGGCCGAACGAGGGAGTGTTTTTGAAATTTATGCAAATTTCGGTGTTTTTTGGGTGGTAATAGAAGACATATTATCCCTTCCATCTACCAAAGTATTTTGAGTTAGATAACGAAATTGCTACAGCAAATATTATGCTATTGTTTGCCAGCCAAGAAGGAGTAAAGAACCAGTAAAGGATTTATTTCTTAAAGAAATATTTCTATTTTTTATCACGGTTTGAAGTTTCAACACCCAAGAAAAAAAATGCCTTTTTTCTATCCGGTTTGTGACTCAGACCACCCCTTTTAAAAAAAAAATTTTTTTATGGCCAATTGCAAGCTCTTTAAATAAGCTTTCCAACGAGCCGTCAGTGGGCAGCAGAGGATCATTACTTTTTTGTTAGTCGATCGATTAGTTGTGGGGGTACAAATGCATGAAGTCGGCATAGCAAATACGATTATTTAATAAAAAATAAAAATCGCATGGAAAGGGTTAAAGAAATTAAGCTTCAGGATTCAGTGGACTTTTCGGACTCTTTTGCCAGGCCCTTCCTACTTTTAGTTGGGATCATGCTTTAGGCAGAATTTTTTTTTAAATCTCATGATCTGCTGGTGTGTTTCGTCTGTAGAGTATGTAAATTGGATTGAATGGATCATAAAATTTGTTTGACAATGTGTTGTTATAAGATTAGGTTTCGCATAATGCGAAGTTAATATTTGAAAAACTACATTTTCTCCGATATTCTAAAATCACAAAACAGCTAGACCACAATGGCGAGTAGTTTCATTTTTCATCTCATGTATGCAAAGCTTATGAACTTCTCAAAATCTTTCTGTGGACGCAGGGGGGTGGGTCAATAGGCCCTTAGTTGGGAGCCACTTATCTAAATTTTTCTAGTTTACCAAACCTATTAAATGTTTGGACCTCCTGACGTATGCGCACCAAGATGGCGCACAACCGGAACTCAGGTTGTGTACCAGGTAAGGGTTCAGGTTATGCGACATCTTGGTGCGCATACTTCAGGAGCACCAAATTTTTTACACTCATGAATGTGGTTCGGGTCATATTGACAATCACCTCACTTAAAATAAATAAACTACTCACCGAAAAGCAGAAGAATCAGCAACAGACATTTTCTTTTAATCATGGCCAATAATAATATATTAAGTATTCAATTAAAATATTAATCTGCTATTTTTACACCTAGTTTCATTTCAATATTTGAATTGCATCTCATGCATGCAAGCTCATTCAATTTCCTGCACTCTTGAATATGGTTATGGGTTTGCCTTACCAATCGGCTTACTATCATTACCTTTTTTGAAATAAAAAAAACACTCACCAGCAAATAGCAGAATCAGCAACAAATGTTTAAAATTAGACATATCCACTGAATTTATAATTTCTCTTCTATTGAGTTAATTATTATGCTTATTCAAATATAATCAAAATTTTGTTAGGTTTTCAATACAGTACATTTAAATAATTATTTTAATAGCTATTACTCAGACTTAAGTTTCCTCATATATCTTTTGATTCGACCCAGTAATGACTTCCTTGAATCTGGACCAGACATGAGCAAATTACGGCCCGCGGGCCAAATTCGGCCTGTTGGGTAATTCAATCTGGCCTGCCTGACGCTGCTACAACCAAACTAAAACCATATTTTAATATTTTAGCTGAAGATAGGGGGGAGGGATTTGTTAAGATTGTGATTCAATTTAGTATTGGCACGAGGCTTATCATTTTCCACTTTTGCTCTTGAAACACTGTAAATATTGTTCATAAAATGTATTTTTACGTCACACTTACATGACCCGCCAGTCTAGGTGGGCATTGGCCCCTGGTACAAAAACCTTGCTCACCCATGGTCTAACTGCTGTAATGGATCGGGACCTCTGATGTAGACCATAACCACTCACACTGCATATTTTGTAACAATGTCTACCTATCGGTAGGTAAGTCTTATATATCTATACAACGGTTTATGCTCCAAAAGTATGTGTACCAATATGGAGGTGACTAATTTTGTTCGCCTACTTCACATCAAGTTGCGTAAAGGGACTGAAACCTATGGGCAGGGGGTATATTCACTTGGCCAACACAGATATTCCTCGAACTCGTAATAGATCTAAAGGAAGGAAAATTGGAATAAAATTATGGCCTGACCCTAACATACGGTACACATACTACGGGAGTACCGAAAATTTTAACTACACAAACTATACAAGATTAAATATTATTGGTAAATAGTACTAAATACAAAAACTTTTAATTAATTTCAAAAAGTAATTACAGATCTCTGTAGGGGTTTCTCTACAATATAAACTCTACTCTGTTCAAGGTCCTGTAGAAGCAACCACTGCTAGGTGGGCAGCTTCTATGTTGGAAAGGCTGTTCTCTTACTAATGGATGATAAAATGGGATTTTAACCCAATATGCAATGCCAGTATTTATAGGTCCAATGCTTTCATCACTATATCCTAAATGGTTGCCGAACTTCTTGATATCTTTACCCTTAAATCAAATTACCAAAATCTCATTTACCCCTTTCATAAAAATATCGTAGTCATATGGATATCACTTTTTCTTTGACATAAAAATGGCGATATTACTAACAGCTATTGCACTTTCCGATCAGACTTTAAGATGCTAAACTTGCGCTAGCTTAGCATTTTAGCTTGGAATCTGTACTGCAAGGTATCGGTTTTATGTCCCTACGAACCATGTGACTAGATGACTAGTTTCATTGACTAGATGCAAGCATTGCATTTCGTGCCTTTCTGCTGATTAGTCAAAAGAATGGAAATTACGAAATAAATTGGTAAAACCGTGAACATCTGGATTAACCCCTAAAACTTGATTAATTTGTTTATTCGACTAAATTGGGCACAAATTTTAAATCTCCTGTTAGTGCTTGTTTGAAATTCTGATTTATCTAACTTTTTGGATCAGAAATTCACTTCAAATTATCCCTTTGTTAATAATGTCTTGGTTATATGTTAAGTTCTACACCCAAGATATTATAGAATAAGGGTTCAACTGAATACGCTTACACTTCTTTATTACACCAGCATAACACACAACATAGATGTTTACAGCAACAGAACATACTAGCGAGTGACGCAACTGCGACACGTTAGCACTAGACAGATAGCACAATCAATTATTAGGGACGTTACTCGACAAGGCATTATTAGCCATCATCAACACCCTTAAACCTGATTTTCTAAAGATACCGGTATATCAAAATGTTCTAAACTTGGCTAAATTTTTTTGGTACTCCCGTGGTGGTGGTGCATGTACCAGGTTAGGGTTAAACCATAATTTTATTCCGGTTTTCCCATTTTTAGTTCTACTACTAATTCGGCTACAAGGTTTCAGTCCCTTTATACAACTTGATGTAAAGTAAACGAACAAAATTACGGTAGTTACCTCGTATTGGTACACACACTTCTGGAGCGCCTATTTTTGTACTCTTAGACATGATTTTTACATTGAAATACAAATGTACGCTTATTATTTTTATCATTCGGTGCTATGCCATACATTACACATTTTTTTCTTAAAATAGATCCACCATCACACCTGAAATTTTGCTTAGTAATAATCTCTTTCAATAATTATTCAATCTAAATTTCCTTAATATTGAATTAATATATAATTTAATGAGACTTTATTGGCCTCACTGTTTTCAATATTTTTTTCTAAACCATTCTTATGTATAATGAATCTATATTTATTGGTGAATTCAAGGCAATACTATTGCCTTATTTATAGTAACTGCTCTGCTAAAGTGTATCAGGAACTCTGAAATAAGTTTTAGTCAATATTATACGTTATACCGTAAAAGTGATTTACGTATCGTATGACGTCAAATGAGTGGGTGATAATATGAGCTATTGCAATAAACTCATATCCTGAGTAGAGCTGATGCACTGCCTATTCAAAGAAATTTAATTGTGTCATTCATATTCTAAATTTTCCGACCTATACCTGATACTTATGAGTCACCTGTCTGAAAAACCATGCTCTGGAATTTTTGCTCTGAAATTATGCCGTTTCGAAAAAGAAACGGTTCAATATTTCCAACTTGTATGGGTTTGATACGATATATGTGTTTTTCGATCAAAGTTCTTTTCATATGCCCGGTCAAGTGTGGCCATTCTTAAAATCAACCAATAAAGCACATTATTTTGTTTTACCATGCTTGGTCATACTTTTACATGTTCATTTTTCTCCGGCTGCATTTGGAATATTTATTGTCCGTTTTCTCATTGTATTAATATGAGTAACGATTACTCATCTATTAGTTGGGTTAACAATACAAGGAAGTAACCTTATGAAATATTTTACACATTGCAGTGAAGTATCGAGTGGAATAATAATAATAATAATATTCACATATAGTCAACCTCTCATATCCCTGTCATTACGCCAATAAAAAATTTGCCATTCAGTAAATCTAATTTACACACATATTGTCAAGTTTTCTTCTAGGAAATCTTGAGTGATCTTTGTGATGAATCACCTTGGTATATAAGCAATAACAATAATAGTTTTCTGTTGAATAATAGAATTCACACAAGATATCATGACGTATTGAAATTCTGGCTTATCTTCAAATTTGGACTTTCGTATTCATGAAATCATATTTTGATGTATGAATGGTCAAGTATGTGTGAAAAAAATGTATTACATGGTCAACTCTAAAATCAATGTTCTAATTAGCCCATTCTTAATCCATAAAGTAAGCATCTTTGAATGCTTTTAAATTGAAGTGAATTTGTCATTATACTACTCTTGATATTGATATAATATTCAACATATTACGCTTTTTAGATTTTTTGATTTAAACTTTATTACAGGTCACCCTACATCTATTTAATTCAAATCAAAATTGTATCTAAACGTGTATTTACCTAACAGGTAATACACACATTTTGTGATGGCTAAGAGATTGCCTAACGTCTAGTTCAACCAAATTGTTTATTTTTGAGTTTATGGTAAACAATGGATTGCGAGTTCGGTTCGGTTTTGAATATTCTCAAATTTATCTATCTGAACATACCTAAGTCTACATATCTGTATTGCCATTTGCTCTTTTATAAATATTCAAATCACAGACTTTGTTTGAGTTTTGTGCTGCATACCAAAATTTTTTTTCTAAATATTCCTTAATTCAATTAAATAATTCATTAATAAACATTCATTCATTGGAAAGTGAAAAATCGATATATGGATTTTTTGGAGTGAGAATACTCTTTCACTGTGAATCATCTACTTACTGTTCATTCATGAGACACATATTATTAGCATTTTTAGTTTTTTACCTATTTCTTGCTTTGTATAGGAAGGCTTTAGCATCAAGCACCTATTTGGGTTGAATATGCCTGACAAATATCATGGGTTATTAATTAAAGTAACTTGTAGGTTGGGAAAATTGTTGCTCTACTTATTCATTTAAATATTTAGTAGATTTGAAATATTCTTACTTATCATATTTTAAGATAAATTGCTTGTATTGCAAGTGTGGTATGTTTAAAAGTGGAGGTCTTACTCGTTATCTCTGAGTTGTATATTATTGACTTTTTTTTTTGCTGATTTACGCCCTTTTGCTTCGAACAAAGCTAGTACAAACACCACTGATATCTAATGATATATAAGGTGTCCATAAAGTCTTAAAAAAATTTTGTAATTGCAAAGGGGATTGCCCTCACAATTATATTAAATGAAGTTAAAATAAATAATTACTGATTAAAAAACAACAAACCTGGTTAAGATATCTTGAGAACTGACTTTATGGTAAAGGGACTTTATGGACACCCTGTATGAGGAGCTATCATTTTTAGATGTTTCGGTTTTGTTAGAGTTGTGCTGGGCACAGAATTTAGCCCAAGAAGTGTGACCTGTGATGCCATAACAGTTTAGTCTAACTATTTAACAGCTTTGCTTTAAATACCTTGTTATTTGCTTGGCAGATTGTCTTTACCAGCTCTCTGCATCATTCTCATTTAACTCTTGGTTCAATCTGTTTTTTTTTTTAGTTTTAAATCATTTGCAGTCAACACTGCTGTAAAACAAATGAGATTCCACATTATGATAATTCATACATGACTATACTTCTCAATCTTAATTCCCAAATATTTTACCAAGAGCAAGCTACAATCAACTAAAAGACACGAGGCAAGAAAATCAGTCATAAAAGCCTATACATTTACAAATATCTAGAACTTTGTGGCAATTTAGAAACGACATAAATAAAAGCTCATTGAATAAATGTTCAGAACAAAAGGAAACCTATCTCATCATGCTGGAATCTAATTTTAGCTGACCTTCAAGCTGAACAGGGTGGTGTCCTAAAATGCCTCACTAAACCATTATAGTCTTGTATAATATCCAATTTATTTTTTCACAATACTCGAGAAGAATCAGCAGTTTTGGATCTTGTAAACATACAATTATAAAAAACAAAAATGCTGTTTTTATAAAGATGTTGAACTGGTGAGGACCAAACCATTCAGCCCTATATATTATCCTGTTCATTTTTTTACAATACTGGAAAAGACTAAAAAATGTTGTTTCTGTAAAAATATTAAATTGTGAGAATCAAAATCATTATCTATGCTTGTACCTTGAAAATTGATCTCCAACACTTATATGGATATCTGCTCATACAGACAAAATAATTTTGCATACAATATGACGTCATAATCAGCCTCCTAATCTGTATAATGTCTTTCCTGTGTGTGGGTGTATCATCTGTCGGCTTTGTTTGAGTGTGTCAAGCTGAAAATAATAAATAATCTTGAAGTATTTCATTCTACAAATAGAAGTTCATTGAATAAGTGTTTAGGATAAGAGGAATCCTATCCCATCATGCTGGGATCTAATTTTAGCTGACCTTCAAGTTGAACAGGGGGTGTTCTGAAATGCCTCACTAAACCATTATAGTCTTAGAAGATAATATCCAATTCATTTTTTCACAATCTTGGAAAAGAATAAAAAAATGTTGTTTCTATAAAAATATTGAATTAGTGGGAGTCGAATCATTATCTATCCTTGTTCCTTGAAAATTAGTATTTAACCTTTATATGAATATCTGCTCATACAGACAAATTTGCATACAATTTGGCGTCATAATCGGCCTCCGCAGCTGCATAATGTCTTTCCTGTGTATGGGTGCATCATCTGTTAGATCTGTCTGAGTGAGTATCATTGCTTGTTTCGGCCTGCAAAAAGGTCCTAAAAATGCAGTGTTAAAATGATTAATGTTTATCAACCTAAATTTGTTATTTTGCTGAATCTGATAACAGTAACTTACCTGTTAGGTTCCATGGCCTGTGAAATAGGTATTGTTTTCTTTTAGTAGTGTGCAATTTTTTATACAGAATACTATCAAGTATGAAAATGATTGAAGTTTGTGACGCTCCAGAAGTGTATCAATATGGAGGTAACTAATTTTGTTCGCCTACTTTACATCAAGTTGTGTAAAGGCACTGAAACCTATGGGCAGGGGGTATATTTACTTGGCTAACACAGACATTGTCCAAACTCGTAATAGAAACAAAATAAGGAAAATTGGAATAAAATTATGGCCTAAACCTAACCTGGTACTCACACTACTTAACTACTCCTATTGCAATTTATTGTGTCAAACTGGCCTGCTTGTCTGAGGACCTGTCCACACAGAATATGACTCACTAGTAAATTATGGGATAATTGTATATTGAACAATATAATACATAGAATAAACATAAGTAAGAAATGCTATGCTAAGAGATGAGAAAAATTATAAAAATTCAAACATAATAAAGCTGGCTCGTCTGTTATTTCTTTTGAAAAATGTCACTAGTGGCTCCAAAATTTATATGTATTTATAAAACACATATGAACTTTTTTGAGGCAACTGTATCTCATGCAATTATATAATACTTCTGATATTTTTTTATGTCTTATAATGTATCATTGGAAATTTAACTACTTTTTGTCTACATGCGCAACATTTCTGGCATTTTTGTCATAGATTAGGAAACATGTCTCAAAAGTTGAATTTTTTTAATTTTCATTGGGTTTATGAAAGGCTTGTTTTTAGGCAAATTTATCTTCTGCCACATAGAAACAGATCCAAAGTTTTTTTTATGTCTCATATTGTATCTCTGTTAGTTTTACTTTTTGTCTTTATGCACAACTGCATAAATGCTTGAAGGTTCATCTTCGATGGTGACAGTGTCAGCTTTCTCATCATTCTGTGGCGAATCTTTTTTCTGAATTACTGCATACACGCATGGTTCGGCTATTGCTGCATTTTCTTCCATATCTTGAGATCCTGTAGTTGTGTCATAAATCTCATTGATGATTATTTCTGTTTGATGGCCATTTGGAGTTGTGCCGTAGAGTGGATTATCGACAATTTCTTTTTCTGTCCCAGCATCTGTAGTCTTGTCATTGTTCTCTCCTATGGTCATTGAACTCTTTTTTGGGCAGTGATATCTGTAGTGAGTGATATGGTAATGTTGGAAAATAATAAGAAAATTTATATACAGTGTTGGCCAAATAAATGTTACCATTTTTTTACATTTTGAATTTTTTTGGTCTACTCTGTATATAATAATAACTTATTTTTTCTTCAATATTGATTGATTGCTGTATAAGTGGGCTTTGGTGAATTTTTCTTTTTAGTTAGCGTACATGCTGAAACAGGAATGTTCCAAATGAATCAAATGTTCAAATATATTCTTAAATATTGTTGTCCTACAAATATGTGATTTACTGGAAAAGTTTAAAATATTTTAATTGTATATTCTGGTTCTTTCATAGTAAAGTAACCTGCTCATGCATAACCTTGTTTAGCACAAAAGGCATATAAATAAATTGTTTTAAAAAAGTACTAATACATTATCAGTAACACCCCAGCATCCCAATATATCTCTTCTGTTCTTCAGAGATATCATAATTTTTCATACTTGAACCAAAATTGTGAAAAATCGAATTGTATAAATTTAATTGAATTTATGTCAATTTCTATAAGAAATATATCTGTACCTCCTTATCAGTAATATTGCAGCCACAATGATTAGTGATCCAGAACCTGAGGCTGCGATTATGATGATAAATTTTGTATTGGTCATTATTCCTGTCCCGGAAGTGCTGGATTGAATTGTTGTGGACTTATTGGAAGATTCTGTCTGCTCTGTAGTTGCTTTGGATTCAGCATTGCCTGCCAAATTGTAGAAGACATTGGTCGATGTTGTAGTGTGATATTCATTTTATATTTATTGGGTGATAGAAGATTATTATAGTATATAAATAATATATACCGTATTTACGCACTGTCAATAAATTGCTTAAATTGAGGTTCTGTCCATACATAGGCACACCAGACGATAAGACGGGCTTTAAGAAGTATCAGGTTTAGCGTACAATATTTATTATTCAATTCAATTTATTATGGTTATTGTATTTTATCTAAAGAAACCGTAAAATGGTGATTTGTTTATATAACAATAGTACAGATACTGGTTTTGGAAGTAGGCAATAAAGCTTAAGCACTACCTTATCCATACATTCAGCGCACTGGCCTATCAGGCAACCAATAGATTTTTGAGAAAAAAAGATTAAATGAATGTATGTAAAATTTCAAGATAATTGAGCTAGTGAGCTTTGCCTGTGGTATAATGTATAAATGGATTCATTTGAATTTTTTACTCACTTGAATTGTGTAAATTTTCTCCCTTGGTTGATATAGGCATGGCTGAAAATCCTGCTGCTTCGGTAGTCGCTTGAAATAAAACAGTATTAATTAATTGTTTTAATATTTTATTGAAAATGAGAGCTGGTGCATGGATAAGCACTTCTCAAAATCACACAAATCATATACAAGTTTTACTGAACTTTTTCAAAAAATTTCTGAGCTGAGCTGTTTTCCTGAGCATGTTACTTGAACCCATGTGTACTGCTTTTAATATTTATCAACATTATTACTTTCCTTACCTGGGTAAATTAATCTTTTGCTCATGTAACTTTGTCAGCTATACCCTCAGCATCAATTGATTGGAAATTCTCTTGGTGGTTTTAAAGGACTGTTAGAGACTAACAAAAGTAACATAAGATCGGTATATGACACTTACTGGGCGGTATTATGGTGGTTGTTGGTCTGCAATCTATTACGAAATATTGAACTGTGAAGTATTTTGTGTAGCCATGGACGTTTTTTGCATAGTATAGTATCTTGTATGGGCTTCCTCCAGCTTTATTCCATGAAATGATTGAATCACAGGTGTGATTTGCAACTGGAATGTTCTCTCTGATTTTGTTGATATTGCAAATGGTCAATGCAGTTGCAAATACAAGACAGTAGTTGCTTGGAAATTCACATTTGTATCCATTAGTGCCTGAGCAAAAGACAATGTGATATGATTATTTATTTTGAGTCTATTCTCTGAAAAAAAATATTTTTTTTGTAGAACTTTTGTGTAAATTTTGTATGATAGATGCTTGCCCAGGTATTCATCAGAACCTACGGTATATAAGATTTATAATTATTTTATTATTTATTATATATATATATAATATATATCATATATATAATTTATGATTTTTTATTAATTGAATAAAACAAGGAGATGATTGGTCCGATTGAGTCCGTTTACACTTGACTCACAAAACATTACTCGTTACCTAAGTTTAATATTTTGTAAAAAATCATAAACGTCATGTAATAATTATTTAGTCTTTATCACAAGATACTGTTTGCTCTTGGCTCTTTTTAATTTGCTATTCCATTGACTAGGTTACAAACCAAATATGGCAATGTTTGTTTTAAAATAAAGACCATTTTTTATCATTCAACACTAACGTTTTTAAGAACATTTCGGAAAATATTCAAAATTTCGAACAAGCCGAGGCTTAACTACTATAAGGTTTACAATTCTGCCAATTATTGTTGGCTACCTGAAACAATGTTTTTCAATTGAATCGAATCAGCTTACTTGGAAATCTGATTTCTCCAGAACAGTCTGTAGTCTTTGGCAGTGAAACATTTTGTAAGAACAGAACAACTGCAGTTTCATTATCTGTGTTCATAATTTTTGGTATTGTCCATTCTTTTTTGCAGTTATGTATATCACTTGGTCCAAATGTGATGTTTTTACTCTCTGTTCCAAGTGTTGTTTCTCTATCATTGCATGCATCCCCATTTCCATTCTTCATGCTATTTCCCATTGCACGTGCTGTTAGACAATATATATAGCTCTGTTTACATATTTTCTTCAAAAAGATAGATACTTTATAAATGACCAACTGCATTTCACATGGTTTTTTATTTATAATTTCATATTACGCTTGATGTTTATTTTCACTATGGGTTATGTTTCATCATACACAAGCCTGTTGTTGTGTCATTGGTTACATTAATTGGATTCGTGTCAACCTGTGAGGGAAATTATGCGCTGCATTGGTCATTGTCCGTTGTAGCATGGTTCACATAGCCAGTGGTTAATTATGGTTCCTCATTCATATCCATCGTCTTTCTTGGAGATTCAAGTCTTCACTGGTTAGCTACCTTTCCGGATAGGGATTAGTAACTGAACAAGATGCAGTGATTCAATATTTTTTAAATCGTTGTTGGATTTTCTCTTTAGTGAAGTGAATTTCAAAGTTCCATAATAGTTACTATCATGATACAAGAGCACCTTTTGTTAAATACCTTGATGATATTCTACTTTCCATGCTTATACTTTATTCCTTGCCATACACAAAAGTATATAAGTAAATGGTCTCTTGTATAAACTTATTATTTTGAAATTTAAATTTAATACTCGCATATTATTAGCATCCACAGAATAATTTGGTAAGCTTTTGAGTAATCTTCTTTCTTCATTGTTCCTCTTAAAATTTCTTTCATATACCGATGGGTTCTAATTTGAATTTCCCAGCTGAAAACTACTGCAGATTAGCTCTTGTACAATCATCTTGAGGCAGAAGGCAGGACTAAAATGTCACTTCCTTACTCACTGGTTTTTGTAGCAATTCCATTTTTATGTGTACTTCTTTTGTATATACGTTATTTCAGAGAGTGGGAGGAATGATATCATAACCTTGTATAACCTATTCTGACTTAGTAATTGCTGGCAAATGTCAAATCACAGCAACTAATTACACAACCATTTCTTATGCTGCTCAGTCTGTGTCTCTGTCCAATACCCAACATTGGTTCAACGCGGCTTACCTTCTCCAGTAAAACTATGTTATTATCTTATTTTCCCCCAAATTCATGTATAAGTGTTTTTTTACTTGTAGGAAAATAAATTTGATTTGACCATTTTCTGATCATCTCTAACTGTTTCTCAAAAGTTTTTGACTTTGTCGTCACGGAGTTGTTCAGGAGAAGGACCTGGTCATTTATTGTATTGATTTATTAATACCTGCTGCTAAAAGTTGAAAGCAGTTATATCATAAAATGGATGAAAAAAATTATTCTTGCAAATTATTCTCATGAATGAGATGCCAAGAGAGGAAGTTCAAGCTGTATTGCTCATTAATAATTTTAAGATTTTACAATTTTTTGTTTTCGAAATTAGGCTCAAAACAAGGCCATGGATATGCAGCATTTATATCTAGAGAGCTAAGTTTTTTGAATCAGAATCTTTCAAGTTTGGCAAATTATGGGAGTATATACAACATTCTTGGACAAATAGATGGGCTTACAGCTTTAACTTGAGATCTCACACATGTTAGATCCATTGCTCTAAACCAGCGTTTCTCAAACAATTTTTGCCACGGAACACCGTGAGACACCAAGAAATGGTGGTCCAAAAAATTCAGCTTATGGTAAAATTAAAAAGTTTGCTGTAAACTTGACAATTAAAAAATTAGGATGGCGGTTGACGATATTGAACAGTTAATGAAAGCTAGTAGGCATGTCCGCCTGTTTGTCGTCAGTTGGAAGACAAATTTAAGGCTCAGACCCACTGAAGTATGGCCAAGATTACCATGGCCACCAGTTTATGGCAATTTCGATCAACGTTCCACGGAGCGCTCTGAAGAAGCTTAGTTCGATAAACGCTGCTCTGAACAATAGACCATCAACCTCAATCAAGTATAATAGTTTGAAATAATTTTTAATCATCGTCCAGGCCCTAATTGAGGTCTATTAATTCCAATTTGATAGAAATGTTTTACTATAATTGTCTCAAATAATCATTTTTTGTGGTGTTAGTTTTAAGTAGTGTAGGAATAAACAGCCATTCAGAGGCTGTGACAAAAATCATATTAGATGCTTGCAATACCCAGTAAGATACATCCAATATCATTATACATTGTATGAGATTATATTGAGCATAGATTGGTAATTTTCAGACAGCATAGTCAATGCTTGAAAAAAATATGGTCTTGGCATAAATAGAAAATTCTTATAAGGATAGATTCTGGGTCTGAATCTATTTTTTATATTTTTTACTTCGTAGCATTTACTCATGCTCATTGTTTGGTTCGCCCCCACTAGGGATCATGACAATGTCATCGATAAACACCAATTACTGGCCGGGAACACTTATAAAAAATAAAAAAATAAAAATTTCCAAGGTTGACTACATGGTCTCGTAAATTTAAATTAGTCATTATTTAAAGCATAATATATCATTTCTTATCTTTGTTCACCACTGCGTATATGCTTGATGGTTCATCTTCAACGGTGACAATGTCATCTTTACCCTCAAACACCACATTCTTGTCTTCTGTTTTTTCTTTTATCTGAACGACTGCATATATACATGGATCATCTGTTTTTGTTGTTTCGTCATTCGTATCTGGAGTTGTGTCGTATATTTCATTGATGATGGTTTCTGATCCTTGTTGATTATTGAGTGATGTTCCATAGATGACATTCTCAACAATTTCGCTCTCGGATATACCCTCAGCTTTATTGCCGTTTTCTTGTCCACTGATTTTGGAGATATTATCATTGTAACATCGGCAGCGTCTGTTGTTATATAAATTTGAATATTATATTTAAATGAAAGTTTTATGGAAAAGTATAGGCGTCAAATATTTGAATGTAATTCAAATAGTGGTTCGTCACATTTTATATTTGGTTAAACATTTAAATTCATCTAACCTAATACGTATGGCAATATCCCTAATTTGTGTACAAACATATTTTTCCACTCGATTGAAAATTCATAACTTTTGTTTATTATGGATAGACCACAAAAAT